TGACTGTGAATTTTCTGTGTGTATCTGTGGGACCCACACAGGACATTAATGTTTCTGTTGTAACAAACAAATCTGAAGTTGGGTTTGTTTGTGACTCAGGAGGTAGAGACGATAGTGAAAGCATCGGTGTCGACTCCAGAGACCGGAGCTCAGATCCACATGGTGGTGGGAATCACTCAGGAGACTCCTGAAAACCCGGCCCGGACCGTCACCCAGGAGTGCTCTGTTTCAATCGGAGGAGGAGGAGGAGGAGGTGGTGAGTTTAAAACATTATTTATCTTCATGTATTATTTCCATAAACATATCTCCATTTTGAAATCTGTGGCTCAGGAAGGAGAGCCAGTGATCCACTAATCAGAAGGTTGGCGGTTCGATTCCCGGCTCCTCTTGCTGCATTTTGAAATGTCCTTGAGCAAAACACTGAACCCCAAACTGCTCCTGGTGCTGATATAAAAAGAACATTATCAGTTCTATCATTCATTCCCAGAGACACGTGTCTGTGCATGGGAATTTCTTCCTCCTGCGAAATGCACTTTCTCATTTATAAAGTATTTAAAATGTGTTCATTGATTTACTGAAAAATCGAAATGCATTTAAATTGTGTCCTTTTTATAACATGACAAAAACAAAAGCCTGTTGACCTCAATGCTTTTATTTAGTTTCATTTATAAAGTATTTAAAACCGTAAAATAAAGCCTCATTTATGCATTTATTTAGTCTCCAGTTGTGATTTATAAGACGTAGATCTCTTTCAGTGGCTGCTTTATCTGTTTACTGAACTGCGGATTCCCAGAAAACAGTTCGGGCAGCGGTTTGTTGTTTCTATAGGAGGATCATCATTTCAATGATTTTCTTTAAAATTTCTGCTCATGTTGTTTGGCTCTTTTAGATTTTTGATTCTGTCAGTTTCATTTGCTCTTTAAGTCCTAATAACGCTACTACATGTCATCTGTTATAGCGTTATAGTATCATTATGTGCAGTGTGACTGTGCAATGAGCTGCAATTTTCTGATGTTAAACTCAGAAAAAAAATAAATTCTTGTACTTGGCCCCAA